GGAGTTCTCGAACTGTCTGCTGCGGAGAGCAGAGTTAGGATTCTGGTAATTGGTCTTAGATGCGACACCGTGGACCTGGATTCGACGGATAGAACGAAGTCTTGGATGATAATTGCACAGTTTCCTGCAATCTCTATTTCTACATTCTCTTTCTTGCTACTGGTACCATCGTTTTGCGATAAATTTTTCAGATTTCTGTGAACGAACTTGTGAGTCAGTAATCTAGACTGCCGTTTTTATTTATTTAGGCACGATTGCAACGTTCAACAGGCCCCAAAATGATGGAAATAATCTTGGTTTTTTGTGTTAATTAAAGGTTGCTGTAAACGATTCTGGTTTTACTTTACGTAAACAAATGGGTTTTAGTAATCAACAGGTTAATCATGGTATACCAGGTACATCTATATAAGGTTTCACACGTAAACAATTGCAGTAACAAATGTCAACAGTCACCGATAAATATATTCACACGTCGACAAATATATAAATACCACTTTACCTACGAAATTATCGACGAAAGTCTCGTACGTTTCATACAGCATCGCAACTTAGGAACCAGCGTCCCAAGGTCTCGGTGACTCGATTTTTCAGAAACACACCTCTGCAATTTTTTTCTCCCTTCTCCCGCACGATGACTCACCGCTTAATAAGAAAGTGGTCACATCGAGATTCCGCGGATAGCTGATTCACATGAACACAGGTGAAGTTGTGTTTTCACGATTCGTAACCAAATCCCCATTCGTCCGTCGAGTCACTCGGTAATCACGTCCCCGTTTGTTTGATTAATTTACTTTTAATATTAATTACGTTTACGTGATGAAGCACTTGGGTTCATTCATGATATCGACGTTCGAAACAGCTGAAATTCCGGCGTGATTTCCGCTGCGACGAGCTGCTCCGAGGCGCTGTCGTCGTAACACTTACACGTTCGTGTGACTCGGTCTTAAAAGTGTGACGACCTTCGGGGCCACGGCTATCTTAGTCACGATTGCCGTGAAAATGAGGTAAACAAGTGTGCAATAAAAGTGTTATCCGAGTAATTACTCCTTTTTTTTCTTTTTTTTTTTTTCTTCGCACTTCACATCGGGAAACCGACACACGTTTTCGTCGTCGAGAAAGCCGCGACCAGCCGTCTTTAGCCGACACTGCGCGAAGACGTGGCGAGAGGACTGCCGGTTTCTTTTTCCTCGACGATATACACGCACCGTGTGCCCGTTGACTTTCGTCGACCGTTTACCTGTAAGGAAAGATCAGGACTCCTCCGTGAATCCTTGCGGTGTTCCACTTCGTTCGAGCGATTTCGTTCACGTTCGATCCGAACTAAATTATTGTTACTTCTACCAGAACTAGGCCTGGTCTTTTTCGGCACTGACAGTGAACATGGTAACGTTTCACGTTGCTTAACTGGTATTTTCTTCGTGGTAATATGTACAACGCGATAAGAGTTTGAAAACTTGTAAAACGAGCTGGAGATATTAGTAAAATTGTGGGATTTGTTGGATGTTTTGAAACTTCTCCTAACCCTTTCGGTACTATGGAAGATTACAGTCACTCGCCACGAAGTAACACTGTCGTGGACAGATTATCCTTTAGAGGATGGACAGGTTTATTTATGACTTTTTATTAGAACTTTTTATATTAACATCAGATTAAAGTGACTGAAGGAAATTCACTTACGGTCAACAACAGTTTTTTCTCTACTAATAGCTGAAAAACTGCAAATTTTGAGTTACGTCATTGTTGCAGCTAATGAGCGATTAATATATTACAATCTAGTGACAGGCAAATGTGTTTCCCTGATTCGATTTTAATTCAGGCCCCATTTAATTAAAAGAACATTAACAGAATACGTGCGAACGGTGCACGAGGTGTTAAATTTTTCTTTTATATTGTTGTCAGATTTTCATGATCGTATTTGACAATCATAGCGTCGTTCGATATCTGTCTCAAGTATGATTCATCTAACATGGTTCAAAGCGTCGTTCGAAGGAAGAAGAGTTCCGAGTGAGACCATTCGAGGCGCGAATAGGAGCAACGCGAATCGTTATTCGCAAGATAGTGCAAGCATAATCAGCATATCAGACCGAGGACAGTCCCGGAGGAGGAGGATGTCGCAATTCCCGTCGCAAGGTGATACGTTTCGCCGTTTTTCTATCCTCGAGCGTCGACTGTCATTCTAGACAGTGCTCATTGTCGGCCGGACAATGGCTGTTTCGTACACGAGAAATTGAGGGAATCGCGATATACGCGATTGCGGAAACACTGACAAGATGGGAATCAGAACACGGAATTGGCTGGCCTGATCGAATAAAGATCACTGACGTTAAGGATCGATCGAGTAAACGATTCTTTTTACAAACGAAGACATACAACACCACATTATTGCACGTTAAATAAAAAACTTTAGAATTCACACATTTCCGAATGAAAATTTCCAGTGGCTCCATATACGGAATAATTGAAATTATAACTGTACCTTTTTTGCGAAAGTCTACTAAATATTCTCGATAATAAAACGTAGGAAGTTTTCCGTCAAAGCAACGTCTTCTTTTTCCTGGAAACATGGAAGACGTTAATCACGAGGGATTATGACTTGTTCACCCTTATATATCCAGAAAATAGAAGAAAGACCAAGGAATGAAGATCTAAGAATAGAACGAACCGGAGGGAATTTGTTCAGCAGTGAAGAATAGCTCTAAGTAGAAAAAGACGACCAGTCGTCAGACAGAGGACACCAGGAGCTTCCAGTTCTCGTTTTCACGCTCGTCGAGCTTACACGCTCAGATCTCTTGGGGAACAGGTGCAAAGGTGTCGGCGGCGAGAACAAGGACACGGGTCCGTGCACTTGCACGAATCTACGTGCTCGTGGAACTTGATAGCCGGTTTAACGTGTTTCGTGCGCGGTGTCATGGCTCGCGAGCGCGTGTGTATGTGTGTGTGCCTGTGTGTGGAAACCCCGTTTGGTCGGGTAGGGATGAAGAGGGAAGAGGCAGGGCCGAGATTAAACAATTGGCTGGCGTGATAACGAGGGCACTTCCCGCCACTAAACTCATCCTGTCCGTGTCGTCTAACCTACGGCTCTCTGGATCCACTTAATCCTCCGCTCATCCATCTGCCCTTCAACCCATCGTGTGTATTGCATCATAACGTGGAATACCACGCGAGCATGAATCTTGATTCCACTCGTACCGTATGTGTCTCAACGTCCTGACTGACTATAATCGGTGGATCATGGGATATCTAGGAGCCTTGAAGTCCACGGAGTCACGATTGGAAACTTTATATCGTCCTCCTAAGCGTTGAATAAACGTAGAGTCCGAAGAATTGAATTTTTAATTATACCCTTGATGAAATTGCATCTCGAATTCTGTAACTGCGATCTTCGATTTCTGTAACTGTATCTCAAAAATCGAAGGATCGTTTTTTTGTGTAATATAATTTTTTTCTCGGGGGGGTTTGTTGGTCCTTCGGTTTCTTTGAAGGCATGTAACCCTAGTTTCAAACGTCGTTCGAATACGTGAATAATACTGTATATTTTCTGATTTTTTCTAATAACATTAATTTCAATATAATGAATGGTTCAAGAGCTTGAATCCTCAAGGGACCACTGGAGCGAAAGAGATTACCGAGACTTCTGTCAGCTCGTCGCGATCAAGAACATCACGCCGTGTCATGTAACCGACGATTTCCGGGCTCGTTTAGTCCCCAACCTACAAGCCACACGCTTAGATCCACGAAGCGTGCCACGATCATGCCTCGCGACTGTGCAAAGTTTACGCCTTTATGTGCACAGAAAATAAACACCGGTCCTGGACGAATCACGTCACGCAGGAAGAAAAGAACCAGTGGAATATAACCGATGTTCGATTGCTAAATATGTTCATAAATGCCAGACGTCACCTGACCTTTTCCATTTGGATCTCTATAATACATATACCTCTGACATCGCGAAAATACGATCGTTACTTCCGACTGAACGGTCTGAATCAGCTGTGTGACGTGGTACGCGTGAAAACCCAATTAAAAGAATTTCATAACATAGAAATATATTTCGCAGAGAAATCAATCTTACGAATTTAATCGTAACAGAGATTCAACGATCCACTCTGGTCTCTCCGTTCGATCGGTGCTCCATTTCAGTTCAAGTTCGCCTCATACGACGTCACGTTCCATGAACGATCATTTGATGCCCGAGATTTATGGTGTACTAACCGCTCGCTTTAAACTGAACGCATTCTGTTCTATTTATACCTGGTGTTTAACGCACGTGGACGATGCATCGGCACACCGAGACGTGTTGATGAACGTTGGGTGACTCACATCGATCGCGGTCTTTTTAATTCGTGTTCCTGGTATCGATAGCTCGCTTCGAGCTACTGAATCTCTGACGAAACAGAGTTCAACCGTGACCATTTAACGCGGGGTGAACTTCAGAAACGGTGTGTAACGACAGACCAGGTGAAAAATCGAAAGGCCACATGGCACGATCAGAGAACGGACCGGATGCAGCCTGGTTAGAGGATAGTCGATCGAGCGGAGCATATGTATGAAAGATAGCTACCTCCGCGTGACGTCTTTGTGCCCCAGTTAGAGCAATTTAGAAGCCGAGTACACGGTGAAGTCGAGTTGTTTTAAGAGGACCGATCGTTCGCAAATCGCCTGGGGAGTAATTGATCCCTCCTCGTGGCGAGCAATTTGCTGCACCGAGGAACCTCACAACCATCGTATTTCGTAGCTGGTTGCGTCGTTAGCGAAACGGTAGTTGGGTCGATCAAGCTATTGGGTTTTGTGACTTTGTCTAAGGTCGTTAACCTAACCCAAATCTCACAATCTTTGTTATTTCGTATCTGGTCGCATCGATAATGAAACGGAAGTTGGGTCGATGAAGCTGTTAAGTTTTTTGACATTTTCTAAGGTCGCTGAATGTAAACGTTTTATGGATTTCTTAATGATAATAGGGGACGATCGTTGGTTTCTGAGAAATGGATAGACCTGCTTACCTATACTTGCTCCTGGGGACCTCTGCTCGGAGGATGATGATTCGTTTTCGATGAATCAGAGTCCATTTCATCGTGGTCGTGACGGGACGGGGATTTCGAGATCGTGATGACGTGATCGTCGTCGCCTAGGATGAAGCTCGTCTTCTTATGTGGCTCCCTGGGTGGTGGATGATGAGGCTTCTGATTGTCGCCCAAACTGGATCTCCTCGATGGTGGATGAGGATGGGCATGAGAATGTGGATGAGGATGAGGATGTGGATGAGAATGTGGATGAGGAGAAGACTCATGGTGGTCTTCCGAATGCTCTGCGAATTTGGTGGGTCTGGACAGATCAAACGTGAATTATACTTAACTAGAATCAACTATGTAGCTATGGTATCATCAATATATTTGGTCTGTTAACCCTAGAACGAGAGTGATAATGTTTTCCGAACCAGATCAATATTGAACCTCATTCATTTATCATCGGTAAACTACGGATCCTTATGCAAGTTCGGAGTTCTATAGGTTAAGTTACTGAACTGAAATAATATTACGGGCTTGTTTTTACTGTATTGAATAAATGTATCGATAAATGCATAAAATCCAAATCATCAGCTTCTGTAAAATATCTCTCGTTTGTGGATAGTGATCTTACTATATTTATTAGTATTAGTTTATTATTTGTAATATCGGTCTAGGGTTAAATTTCAGGATCCAAGTGGCGATTTTCTTCACCTAGGTTCTAAATGCTGTCGAGAGGGTGACCTTGGCGGAGGATTGATGAGGACTGGGACCTGATCCATCGTCGTTCTCGAGCTGGATCTCCTCATCACCTCCACGTTCGACCTACCCTCGTTCTTTTTCGACTCCAACGTGCCCCTCGACGACTCCCTGTGCATTCGCTTCTCCTCCTTGCTCTGTCCTCGATTTTTCCTCAACGTCGCGTTGATGTCCTCCAACACGCGATTGTAATCTTCTTGGTTCCTTTGCTCTTCTTGCGTGTGGCTAATTGGATGGGGCTCGCTGTCCGATAACTGTCGTTGAAGATAAAGAAGATTCATGCCTTATCGACTTCCATACCAACGATCGAATCAACAAGAATATAAATACAGTGTAATCTTTATCGTGCTATTGAGTCCGTAGAAGAACAGTTTGCCAGAAACTTATATTCTTTCATAAGAAAACACAATTTTTAAATTTGACCCCATATTGAATTTAGCTTCACCCGTTAATTAAGTCGAATTTGAGTTCACGATATTCCCAGTGCAGCAATGAAACCAGTACCTCGTTCTGCGTGTAAAAAATCGGCTGTTTCCCGTCAGTCTGCATGCTTTGCATGCTCTCGCGTCTCAGAGAACCGTCAGGGCCGGTGATCATAACCGGGATCGGAGTAAGTGTCGTCATCGGGACGTTCATGTGCAAACCACCGGTGGACGATGCCAGACTCGAACCGGATCCGGTGGTCAAGGAACTGCTGGACGCGTCCCGGTAATGAGGGAACACTCCGGTGCTCATACGCTCTGAAATCATCCAACACAGGAATCTAAATCTCTTAAGATCCAGCAGTGGCGGATCTAGAGGGGGACGATAAGAGCGACTCTCCCTCCCAACAGTAATGAAATATAAAAATACTCTGTCACGTATAAATAATATATATAAAAGGTGGTTTAAAAAAGGTATCTATGTACTTTTACACATTTGGCCTCCTTCCCTAAGAAAGGCCCCTGGATTGGCCCTACTCCAAGGGGTAATAAAATATAAAAATATTATGTTACTTATGCTTGTACATAATATATATAAAAAATGGTTAGAAAAATATATCTATGTAATTTTACATATTTTAGCCCCCCTCAAAAAAAGCTCTAGGATTCGGCCTCCCCCTCCACTCCCTTAAGAAAGGTTCCTGGATCCGCCACTGTGATCCAGAATCACCTGACCGTGGTCAACGCCACGAAAATCACCTCTACTCGAGAAGATCGAGATCGAGCCCGCAGGAATTCTCGTTTATCGCGAATGAGTCACGTTTTTCCAGCGGCGACACTTCAATTAACCGTTCCTCAGCGTTTTACGAACCCGTCTGAATATTAAACGGTCGCTGTTGTTTATTCTGGATCACGTCGGGTCGTGAACACGCCTTCCAGGTGGAATATTTTATACGTTTCCGCGAGTGTAACCGCAGATTCCACTTTGGAAACGCATGGTCGACGTGAATTTTAGGTATATGGGGTATATGATATTTTTTAAACAATATTTATTTTAGACTTTCAGTAATTTCGTAATGCCTTGTAACATTTTCTGCACATTCGATAAGTGTCCCAATACTTATAACAGGGAATCATACTTAATATTTTCTTGGAGAACCCTGTGGCAGAATTCAGTAATTTTTTTATAAGCCAAGAATCTTAAGATCTTAATTCTGTTATAGGAAAATTGACTAACGTAGTTTAAACAAACACAGGAAGTTACTGTTTAAGTCGAAAGGATGTTTTCGGTCAGAATGCCGCAGAAGAAAGTTCGAGGCAGCGGGTCGCCTCGGTGATTAGTATCGCCACAGATTCAATAGACTTGATTCATGTTAATCGAGGTCAATTACATTTTCCCCAGCGAACTATCGTTGACAAAACAGCCTTCACATTTTACGACACCGGTTGGCAATAAGTTTTCCCATCGATTAATCGAATGATAACAATTTAAAATACAATTATGTGGTCTATGGTGGAAAATTCGTTCGTACCTCCCTTCGCGCGTTGCATCGATCTGATTTTGTCCAGATCAGCCGCGGAGCAGAGCGGTGTGTCGACCTCGTAGGTATTGTTGAAAAGCGTGTAATTCACCTCGTATTCACCTGTCTCCTTCTTGAACGTGATTATATGCTCGAACCTGTGTCCCCATAAAATTTCCGAGGGTAGATAGGAGCTTCTGGCTTGAGTGGTCATACCAGTCGATTCGATGACGCCTAAGAGCATCAATATATAAAAAACACTTCAGAAATGCATTTACACTTCCCTTTGACAAGGGAAGACACGGAAGTATCCCCTTCCAATTTTGATGTAACTTCGTATGTCTGTTAAGCAGTCAGAAATAAGGGATACGTATTTTTTTTTATCGACTGAGACGCGACTTTAAAGGGTGAAACCACCCCTCGAAGTTTCGACCCGAAAGTAATATCTCGAAAACCAAAGAAGATATATGAGAACTTCTAATGGACGAGGTTTGCTGTTTTTTATGTAGAATAATATGGTGCTAACTAATTGTCCAAAATATAACTTGTTCGTAACAAAAAAATTTCGGATCGAAACTTCGAGGGGTGGTTTCATCCCTTAAAATCGCGTCTCAGCCGATAAACAAAATACATGACCCTTATTTTTGACTGCTTAATAGACATACGAAGTTTCATTAACATCGGAGGGGGACACTTCCGTGTTTATGACTTTCCGTTTTTTTTCCGACTTTACCTTCCAGCATCACCACGATCTCGAACCGTTCCTTCAGCATATCACTCGCGGATATGTGATAAAGAGGTGACATTTCGTCGATCTTGTGAACGATCGTTGTCGGCCAAATGAAGAATATCTTGTCCTCTTCGCCGTCACCGCCCACTTTCAATTCCGTCTGAAAGAACGGTAGAAGCTCCCCTTCCCTGGTTACCTGCAAATTCGAATAACTTGGTAATCGTTAAAAAATTTTCTAAAAGAAATTTTCATTAGAAAGTTAAATTTGTCGACAGTCGGTTTTGTTGGAAAGTATTTCGAATTGTCCAGATATTCTTCGTCGAATTCTCACTTTTCGTTTGATCATCTGGGCCCTGACGTGAGCCTCGATGATGTGACTCTTCCTCATGTCACCGACACGGAACATCAGACACGGTTGGCCGTCCCTCTGGCAGATCACAGCGTTTCGCGAGAAAAGCAATGTCTGCGTACGTTTCTTCGGTCGTGACAGCTTCGCGAACACTATGCCAACCATGAACGCCTGCAGGATCACGCCCGTCATCGATTGGATGCAGATCACGAACACCGCCTCTGGGCACTCGTCTGTTGGGTGTTTCGATCCGTACCTAAAAAATTAATCCTCATTAAGGACAGAGAAAAGACAGTAAAATTGGTTTTTGTTAACACCAGAACCGTTGGAATAGAATAGAACAAGCAGAAAGAGTAATGCAGTGTAGAAATAGCAAAAATGTAACATATTTGGAGGTTCGTTAACAATTATCTGTCCCTCATTTTCCCAGTTAATTTGACCCTCAGTGTCAAATTGACACAGTGATAAAAAATTAATATAATGAAGATATAGATAGTTAAATTTGTAAATTCTTTAAAGTCACTGTTAGGAGAAAAATGTATCGAATTGACACAAGGGACAGATGAGGGTTAAGATAAGATTACAATAAATTTTCGATAATTGCCGTAGGGTTCTACACAGGAACCTCGACCCGGAATCCAGTTATTTAGAATAAAATTTTTCTGTAACAATTCATGGCTTCCAAATTGTTACAGATTTAGAGTTTTTTTTTATCTACGGTGCATTAACCCCTTAAAAAAATGAATAACTACGATCACTCTATCTTCAAACGTAGAAATTGGAAGATGTTCACATACCTTTCTGGTTACATTGCAATTAGTAGGATTCTTCTCCTAATAAATATTAGATGTCGATACGAATGTTGGATAGATATTACGAAGGAAGCAGTAATAGAGAAACTTTTAGACCGAGAAGAGTAGCTTCTCAACAAGTTTATGGCATTACAGAACCGCTCAGGACTAAAAATCTATCGTTATCGATACTCTTCTCGGGTCCCAAGCGAAGTCTGTGTTCGCTCCGCTGTCCTTTACGCAGACTGTTTCGTTAAGTGTCCGAAAAACGATTACCGCGATGGGTCCATCTCTATCGCAACGGAACAGTTTTAAGCGAGTTCAACTAATTAATCTGAGGGCGAACAACTTCTTTCCGAAAGCGGCAGTGTGATTTAATAGCGTCTGAAATTCGTTCGAATCACTGATCCAACATAGACTGTGGTGATAATATTAATCCTTATAGTACCTTATAAGTTTTCCGTGTACCGTTCAAAAATACCTTGAAAAACATGCGATTTTTGAGGTATCTATTAAAGCGAGCATAGTTCTCTTAAAATTGAAAATATTAATTTTTTCATTTTATTATTCCTTTCTAGTAAACGTTCTACTATATAAACTTATTTAACAAAAAATAAAGTGTCATTACGTGTGTTTAAATTGTATTGAAAATGGAAAGCCGATATATCAGCTCAAGGTATTTTTCGGGAAACCCACAAAGCCGATATATCGGCTCTGAGGTACTAAAAGGGTTAAAAAAAATGTGTCTAGTCACCCGATCGTGTGTTGGGTCTCGATTGAGAACAGGAAAGAGCTGGTGAAACCACGAATGTCCATGATGCACGGGGTGAACGTCAAATTCGGATTGGAATAGTTGTCTGGATCGAGATCCCCGTGGCTGTACGCTATCAGCCACCATATCAGAGCGAAACCCAGCCACGAGAGGAGGAAGTTCATCGAGAAAACTAGAAGGGTCCATCGCCATTGGGCGTCCACTAGCGTCGTGAAGATGTCCTGAAACAGAATTCATCAGTATACAATGCTATACAGCGATCTTTTTGACTTTTGAATGACTTTAGGGTCACTTATTTCTTGCTATCTATGTGGACCAGAATTGTTGGAAGTTTCGTTGGTTCATATTTTTGGAAGTTTTATTAAACCTTTTTTTGTTTTTGTGAAGACTATCTAAATTTCCTACTTACTGAGCTACATTAGTGCTTGCTTTTTCTTTGTAAATCACGAACGTCTACTCATAACGTTCACGGTTTCCAAAGAAGAAAATCTCTACTAATGATGGCTTAAGTGTTTTATATTGTACAGAATAAAAGTGAAGATCGAGTTCAGTGCTTCATAGAACAAAAGATCCCGAGCGTGTCGAGGTGTAACGCAAGATTTTTGGCGAACATTAGAACCGGTCCGAATAATAGGGGATGAAATCGAAATCCGAGAATAGCGTTGCATGTAACCGTCAAATTTTACATAAGAGAAAGGTAATTTTAGTTCGTCGGAGCTAAGTGGTGGCCGATGAATAAAACGTTTCTAGAGAATCTCGCTGAGATTCAGCCGGTTACACGGAAACCGAGCGTTATAGTCCGAGGCAATTTGGCAAGTGGCTGCAATTATAAAATACAGAGTTCAGAGCAGCCCCTCTCCACCGTGCTAATCGAATTTATACCGACGATTTCGGAACGGAAAGGAATACGTGGGAAATTCGAGATACCTCGGGGCGTGATCTGTCGACTGTGCAGCAAGTCGAGGATCCTACGGATCGCCTTGAAACGACGTATACTCGCGTTCGGAGTGGCGAACTAGCACGGCCGTACGCTTTTAGAAATACTTTAAAATTACCTGAAGGTAACGGCGTCGTCGCTTGGCGACATTTCCTTGTACGACATTGCAATCGCCGTGCTTGAAAACCACCCTCTTGCGTATCCTTCGCGAGCTGAACCTGGTCTGTCGATATCTGAAAGCAACCGGGCCCATTAACACCAGGAATTTAACCGAGAAGCCAGTCTGATTGGCTAGAAATCTTGATATATCGAAAACCTTCCAAATGTAGTTAATTGCAAGGTGTACCGATAAATAGTTCATTATTTTTTAGAGAAACTTTGTATTCCTTTCGAAATAATTCAAATACATATCCTGTTTAATCTATTATTTAATCATTTTTGTGTGTCTCTGCAGTGAATTACTTATTAGTACACCTAATACAGACATTCCACACCATTTTGTCGGACAAGAGATCGCTAAAATATTTTCAATCTGAACAATATCGCCGTCTGATTCAAAATGACACTAAATCATTCATTTATCTTGCCAGTAAAAAAGAATGTATTCCATATTTTCTCTGTGATACGAAGTTCATTTAGAATCGAGGGGAACAATTTTTCAATAAAGAATTTCGTCCTTGTTATAGTGACGGGACCCTTTGACGAATGATTAAATGCAGCTTCAAAGGGTTGCAGATGTGTTTCGTATCACTTGGAACGTTCCTGCCGTCACCTATTCTGTTTTATCGTGAAAAATCACGACACCGGTGTTGCGTTTCACGAAAAACGAGACGCTGCTCTCCCACGGGTTCTCTAAAGGCCGTTTTAAAAGCGATCATATCGTCTGCTCCGAAATATACGGAGCTTAATGCCAGAGGACATAATTTACGGTCGAGCGGCTTTCGTTCGAGCCAGGATAGCGACCGATCGAGGGGTGTGAGGGGAAAGGGGCAATTTGCCAGAAAATCGACAGACGAACGTCGTGTTCCGATGATCTTCCGTATCTACGTGATTCACGATATTGGCCTCGTCGTTCACTAGTAATATCGTCTGCGAATAGAAAAAAATCGTCGTGTGTGGTTCACGAACGTTCTTAACGAGCCCATGAGCTACAAGGTTTCCGTAAAAAAAAAAAAATTCATCGTTTGTAACTACCATCCGAGACCCGAACATCGTCTATATTTGTTTTACGTTGTATTTTGGGAAACGCGTAATCTGTTTGTCAAAAAGACTCTCTCTTCCAACTTTCCTTTCATTGGTCACGTGTATTATTTTATTTTTGCGGCGGACCAACGTCACGTATTAGGTGTAGCAATAATTACAGTTTGCTATGAGGGTGTAATACAATTTCAATTATTTTCGATTGTCTTGTTCAATTAACCCTTTAAGTGTTTTATTCCATTTTGAAAACGCGCACTTGAGTGCTTAATTACTTTCAAGCTATGATAAGTATAATCGACGAAAGCAAAGGGAAAATGCATTTGCTATAAAATTGAAATAAATTCTAATAAAATGACAAAATTAAATCAAAAAAGATGCCAGGTTTTCATGACGAGTATACTCGACGTAAGTTTGACGAGAAATTGCGAGGGAAGAATGATGGCGATTCTATCGAGGGGTTAATTAATCAAGTCCAGTTTTTCCAACGTTTTTATCGGATCGTTGAATTAAAAATGGTATTATACGAGTTGGTTGGTAAATATTACACAGTGGGGTGCTCGAAACGGAGCCAAACTCGATTCGCCCGCGAAGTGGTCCAGTCCCGCTAGTCTTTCTCGCGAATATACACGCGTAACGAAACTCGAGCCACGCAAATATTTGGTCGATCCCGTTTCATCTGGGCCAGTGACGTTAGTCGTTATATAGAAATGTTTACGAAAGCACATGGTGTTTCTATCCGAAACCTATTAATCCGTAAAGAAACAGCGCTTTGTGAACACAACCGCCTCGCGTTTCGCGCTACTAATGGTATACACACTCCCGCTTGTAAGCATTGTACGTAGTATAAATGTTACAAGGCTTTACGAAATCACTGAAAGTCTGAAATAAAAAATGTTGAAGGACATTAAAGCTTTATGGAGAATGTTTATCCTATCATAAGGTAATAAAAGTGGTTTAAAATATATAATTTCGACAAAACATTATATTTTCTTTCTACTGTCCATTAAAACTTCCTTGATTCGTTATTAAAAATCGGTACTGCAAGATGTTTGATAAAATTAATGGAAGTTTTTACTCTTCTTAAAATCTTACATAGAACTTATTCATTAATAATTAGAAAAAATTGTTCTTCGATTTCAATTTCCGTGAGGTGAAAAAAAATTTAAAATAAACATTCGCAGTCTACTTATTAGCGATAGTGTGTAAAATTGTAATCAAAGGGATCGAACACAGTAATAACTCGTTTGACGTAATGTTGCGAATAAAAGGAGAATAGTACAATATAATGTTCGTCGTCTATAACGAATGAAATTTCTCTGCTTCCGGTTATGACGGTGAAAATTCCAGAGGCTGCTCGCCAGACGACACACGTACACGTATTCCCGTCTGATACGAAACCGACCCCGAAATAAATCCCACCCGACCGTGAGGGACTCCGAAAATTCGTGAAGACTAGACGCTCGAGATTAGAAACGTCGGGCCTGTTTACAGACGGGTGTTGCGCAGTCACGGATTATTACAATTCTCTCTCGTATCGGAGGCGCTAAAGTTGTTGGCAGAGTCCAAGGATTGCCTACGATCTCTTTGAACTTGTCTCTCGTCGTAGGCGATCGACTTTGTACTCGTTTGGATTTCTATGCGATCCTCGGTGTCTGCAAACGCGTCAACGTGTTCCCCACCTCTCAAACCCCAGATCTCAAAATTTTCGTTTAACGACTGGCTGGTGGTAATGAAATACTAGTTATCGGCGAATGATCCAATTTGAACGATCGTTAAGTTTAAATGCAAAATGCTTTCCTGACCTTCTGCTGACGTATATTGAGTGGGTATTGGTAGGTTTTTCATTGCTTGTGGGTAGAATCGATGGTAAATAGGTGCTTGAGTTACGTGTAAAATCTCTGAGAAAGTTTAAAAGATTGATAAAATTCGGAAGTTTCCAATAACAAATTAAAAGATGAAAAACTATTTCACCATTTTTAATCGATTGAACGCTGAAATTTCAATTGTATCAATATAATACTTTTTCTTGAATGAGTGGATACTTGGCAAACAATTCTTTAATCTTATTAAGTAAATTCAGCCAATAAACATTCAAATAACAGAATGAACATATTACCATAGAAAGTAAACTTAATCATAGTTAAGGTTAAAAACTAAAAATAGAAGAAGGAAAGAAAAAGAAAAATATAAAAAAATATATACACAGTAACATGCTGCTGTAATTAATGGAAAACGAAAGTTCTCCTCAAGTATTAATGTACAAAACTGAGAGATAAATCTTATAAACATTATTAACTGCTCAGAAGCCAGAATTACGATCTAAGATACTGCTGCTGTTCACTATGTATATTATTCGAATAATATTGTACCTAAATCTGGATGAAAATAACCAGAACAGATGTTCAGTGGAATAACAAATTAAATGTCGGTTCTGTCGTGTTGCGCAAAAATTGTTATCGGAAATATCTTTTTCCTGAAGTTTCACACGCACGATTGTAATTGGATCGTTGTACAAGGATTAGAAATTGACGTTCAGCTGGACATTCTGACGTCTTTCCCTCGAAGAAGGATCTGCTTCTAAACTTTCTGTCGGTCGTGTAAACCTGGAGCGTATATTTGTCCGCAGGGGGTCGAGGAGAGAGGACGAAAGTTCCCGTTCCGTTTTGTTATCCCATCGAAGCCCAGAAAGAGATGTCCCCTCCCCCTGGTAAGACTCTAAGTATATACCCGCGCCCTCGAGTTTGTCATTTTGCCAGTTTCCGATGGACTCTCTGGAAACGCGTAGCTTGATTTTTACTTCTCTACTCTCTTTCTCTCTCTATCTACCACCCCTCACGGTCCGACGATTCTTTGAAGCGTAAAAATAGCCAGATCGGAGGCTTCATGGAGCTATTGAACTTCGGTGAACGTTTATTCTGAGCGTCTAAGCGTTTTGATTCGTTGAAAGATTTACATATATTGATTTCTGGGTATTACCCACCGGGATGATTTAGATGTTACACTTATACATCATCGTGTGTCGTCGATTGTTGACCAACGAAACGTTCGATTTACAGCTGAGAAATTAATATTTAAGATTTAAGGGTTTACATAATCTCGATTCGTTCAATCACCTTCTGAAATAAGAGTTGGATACTATGGGACTCGATCCAATGATCAGAAGTTGAAAAGAGGAAGTTGAAGTCAAGGAAAAGAATGTGAAAGATGAAGGGAAGATGATACTGTGGGACTCGATTCAATGATGAAAAGTTGAAACAAGAAGTTTAAATCAAAGGAAACAAGGTAGGAGGAAAAACTTCCCACAATTGACCAGACTTCGATTATTAATTTCCTCTCGAACGGACCTAAACCGTGCAGTTCAATTTGGCTTGTTTCGTTCGCCTGGCAAACGACGATCTAAATTCGTGTGGTTTCGCATCGTTCAACCCTGACATATTGACCCGTGATGAAAATAGATCACGACTTCCACACCTGTTCACGCAGTTTCCATCAGCGAGGCTGGAAAATCTAGTATCCGGGGAAAGAATCACTTCTTTAGCTAGAATCGCGGCCCAATTTAATACGGTTACACGAGGAAACGTTTGAGACTCGTTGGAAGTTAAGTGAATTTTGTTCGAAAGATTGATGACGAACGGAAGTAGTATATAAAGCTACATTCTGACGTTTATTTTACCGAATAACAGTCTTGGCTACTATTTCGGCAATTACGATTTCTATTTTCAATCGACCAATAATATACATAGTGATCGTCGATTAGACGCTGATTAGTAATTACTTATGATCACTGATCAGTGATTACTTATTAACCCTCTTGGTACGACAATACTTTTGACGAATGTGTCGCGTGTGCGCGGAATATTCTACTGTTTATGGCACTACTACTATTCATGAAACATGTGTACACGTCCATAACGTTCGTAACGGCCAATTCATTGAACGTGTATACACGTTAATAGCACCGAAACGTTTAAACTGGAATTTCAGAGAAATCTATACAGCCAGCATAATTGTATAAATAGGTTAATTACCAACGTTAACCTGCATAGTTACCAGCTTAACTCCTTTGGTTCTTTGCACACCTTC